CATATTCTGTGAATAATATAACATTACATCTGTTCGATTTCAAACGCTTATTTATACCATACAGGTGACACAAAATTTTATGGTCGAATTGATGGACAAGCAACCATCAAATACAACACAACTCTTGGTTTTACTGATATGTATAGATTTTATAGCAGAAAAACAGAATTGATTGAAGAAGATCCCAATGACAACTATTATAAAACAATTAACACGGCAGATTATAGAAAAAATGGTGGTGAACAAAAAGAAGAAACAACAATGACAAAGAGATAATAAAGCATACATAGTGTCAGATAGTAGTCAAAAACAGCTGTTTTAGCAGGAAATGCCGATGAAGAAGATAGTCGTACTACTCAATAGCTGAAACATATTCAAGGATTAAAATCAGAAACTTCTATCTTAAACGTTTTTAGTTTTCTGCAGATGCCTCTTTCTTAAATGCTTTAATATTGAGATAATTATCCAGACAATTTTAAACATTATTTTGCAAGCTCTCGAAGCTTCGCGCGTCAAACTTGCGTGATGACGCAGCGAGAAGCTTCAAAAGCTTGAAAAAGATGTTTACAATTGTCTGTATAATTATCTCAATATTAAAGCATTTTAAAAAAACACTCTTATTGAAACAGGATTTGTTCTGAAGTGCTCTATAATCATTCGTTATTATGTAAAGATTCATAAGCTTCTTTTGATTGGTAGTTAACAATAGTACTACAAATCGTTTTATAATTCGACTTCGCAATTCTCTCTGATTTCGAACAGAGGACACAATAACGTCTCGGCATTTCATATCATTTAGCTAACAACATGAAAAATAAAATGCTCTTCGAATCACCAAAACCCAAACAGAAAAACATAACAACGTAAACAGAAAAAAGAAAAAATGAATCTTCTAGAAGAAGTTATTTGATATCGAAAAATGTAACGACATTATTAATTGATGGTTATTTTAATATTAAGTACGATGTGAAAAACGTAAATATCTTTCTTTAACAATAGAAACAGATTTCATAGGGACACATTGTCG